TACTAAATTTGAAGTCTATAGGAGCTATAGCTTGGAAATTAAAAATTTTAATTGTTGATACCCACCCCCGCAAACCCCTGTGAGGTGAGCTATCGTAAAATTCGTTCCTATATTATTTCTACATCTCTTACAGAAAATTCCTACCCAATTTGGAGTCTATTGGAGCTATAGTTTGAAAACAGGAATTTTTCATTGTTAACGCCCCCGCAATCCTCTTTGGGGTAGGATATCGTAAAATTCGTTCATAAATTATTTTTACATTACACGGGAAAAAATTTCTGGGAAAATTTACAACTATTGTAAAGCTGGACTATACCTTTATTACTATTAATTATCAAATATTTTAGAAGAAAAAATACTATTTATTCATGAAAAAATACTATATTACTATTGTAAAAAGTAAGAGATGAAAATTTCCAGTGCTGCCTCTGTATCTTTTCAATAGAACTATAGCAAATTTTACAATAGTTGAATTGGATGAATGTCTCTCAATTAGTGTGAGTGATTGCCGTGCACAGCGCTAGACTCTGAGTTTATGTAAATGTTAAAGGATATGGGTCTTGGTTTACCTCGGATAGCGTAGAGGGAGAGTCTCTGGCTGCCAACACAGAGTTCTGGGTTTGATTCCCAGATAGCACGAAAATATTTGTTTCTTGTTTCGATTACTGTGCAGGTACCAATTCGTGCTACCTTATATCTCTCTCCCACCCTAATATTTCTTCTAAAAAAACCAACTGTGAATTTTTACAATAGTTGAATTGTAAAGTTCACAAACACATATTGTATAGTTTGGTCTATAGTATACGACTTTTTAAAACTCTTGCTAGTCTTATTTGTTGGATAAAATTTACAATAGTAGATCGTAAAAATTACTAAATGAGAAGTATAGTCCACCGTTACTATTTTATTTAGTAAAAATTACAATAGTAAAATAGTAGTAATAACTCCTTCAATTTTCTTCCCGTGTACAATAACTTTTTATATTCGATCAAGATTTTTAGATACTTTGGGGAAGCAGCGCCACCTACTTCAGCTGAGAAAAAAATTTTCTTACCTTGAGAAAATTTTTCTCTTGAATATTTGATACCCATTTTAGACTATTTTAGAGCGCAATTATACATATTGAATGAAAAGAAATGATTCAATATTACTTGATCTTCCCATTTGACATGTTAGTTAATAAAAATATTAATGAAAATTTACATCAAGATATTTAATTTTTTGGAGCAAGAGAGAAATTTTCTCGAAACAAGATAATTTTCTTGACTTAAATAAATTGTCTTGGATCAAGATACGTATTTTTTTTAAGCAAGGAATTAATTTTGTTGGAATAAGTGAAATTTCTTGTGTCAAAAAAAAAATTTTTTTCGCCTAAGAAAATAATTCGGAAGAAAAATATTTTCTTGGTTCAAGTAAACCTTTCTTTCTGTGTAGTATACGTTGCGCGCGCAAGCGCGCGTGTAAATGTTAGTATGGAATTATCTATATTTTCATACTTATGATATATTTGACCAATCACGTTACGAATAGTTTGCTCTTACATGATATATTTTCATATTTTTCATCTAAATTATAAGAGTGGATAATTTATCGACTTTTGATGGATCAAAAAAGTCGTGATAAGAATTTGTCCCTTTTCACGGTTTTATGTATTTTTGACTAGTCAATTTTTTATATCAAGTTTTTAGAAGAGTTTTGAATAGTTTGTTAGTTCTATAAATTTATTCCGTCACATTTGTCGATTAAATTGTTTATAATTTATCCTTTATGACACTATTAATTTAGAAATGTATATCCCTGATTCAAAAAGATGGTTTGAAATGATTACCTTCATGTTAATTGTATATCTATATAGTATTCAAATCCGATGCATTTAAATCATTTCAAATCATTTCAAATTAGATTTCTTAATCAGGGATAATTAAGAGAATGAGGAAAATTTTGTCTCTGGCGTACTTATATAATAAAATAAGTTTTTTAAATTAAATTTAGTACCATTGGATAGGTCTTGATTTGAATTTGTGCCTTTTAAACATTTTATATGCTTTTCAGCAATAATTAATTTTCGAAGTAGTCATAAATAGATTCGAATTTCGCGATAATTTCATTTATTTATTGATTTTGTTTTGTACATGTGAATGTGGTTTTATTTATTTATTTATTTATTTATTTATTAATCAACATACGCCTATCGGCAATATACATAAAGAAATTATTCAAAATTAATTAACATAAATTAAAGTAAATTAAATTATGATTTAAATCGAAGCAAAGGACGAGAAAAAGAAAACTTTGTGTAGTTTATATGTACATAAGTAACTGTTTTTTAATGTTTGATATAAAAGCACTGAAAGTACCACCGTAAAATTCCACTTCGCCATTTAATTTGTTCACTAGGTTTACTATTCTATCATGAGGTCCATTCACCACATAGTTTTTTGAAGACTTAGTAGTTTTCAGTAACCTTTTGCGCCTCAACATTATGTTGGCAGGCGCAAATTCGATGCTGCTGCAGATGTCCGGGGCGTCAATGATTCCATTGACCACTTTGTAAAAAAAAGCCATGTCGGCGACCTGACGACGATTAATCAAATTGTTTAATTTGAAGTGCTTGCGAAGATCATCTGAATTGGAGGCATTAGCTCGCGACCAGTATGTATTCGAGAGATATTTACATAGCTTGTCTTGAATTCTCTCAAGCTGCTTGGTTAAGATATCAGTGTAGGGTGACCAGATGACCGAGCAGTATTCCAAAATCGGCAGAACTAGAGCAAGGTATAGGTTAACCGTAGTATGCGGGTAGTTGAAATCTCTACATGTTCTTGTGACAAGGCCGAGGATTTTGAGGGCCTGGAGTGTGATTTTGTCTACATGTTTGGTGAACATAAGCTTGTTGTCAATTAAGACACCAAGGTCTTTGATGCAGTCTACTTGTTCGATTTCGACGCCATTCAGGAGATAGCTGGTGGGCACCTGGGTATGAGCACGTGTGAAGGCTATCACTGCACATTTTTTGACATTCAAGTCAAGTCTGTTGTTTGTGCACCATGTAGCTAGCGTGTTGATGTCATGCTGTAGGATCTCGCAATCCAGTTCGCTCGCTATAGTTCTGTAGATTTTTAGATCATCTGCATACAGTATAAACTCTGAATCAAACTCTTTCCCGATGTCATTGACGAAAATATTGAAGAGTATAGGGCCTAAGTGCGACCCCTGAGGAACACCTGAAGTGACCATGTATTCGTCAGATAAGTTACCATCAACCCTGACTTGCAGACGTCTGCCTGTTAGGTAAGACCGGAGCCAGCTGAGTGCGTGTCCATGTACACCGTAGTTTTCCATCTTCCTTAGTAAAATCTCATGATCTACTCTGTCAAAAGCCTTGCTGAAGTCAGTGTAGATAGCATGAGTTTTGTGACCGTTGTTCATAGCCATAGCATTAAGTATGTAGTTGACGTAGGTGTACAGGTTGGTTGTCGTCGATCTGCTGACAACAAACCCATGTTGCTTGGTAGAAATAATGTGTTTGAAGGAGGAAGTCAGTTGAGGTAAGACTACTTTCTCCATTAGCTTAGCCAGTGCTGATTGAATACATACGGGTCTATAGTTGGAGACAGATGATCTAGGGCCATCCTTGTGTATTGAGCTGACGAACGAGACTTTCCAGTCCGTTGGGAATGTCCCAAGCTGTAATGATTTGTCGAAGATATGAGTTATGGGCTCACAGAGTCCGATAGCGCAGTTCCTGAGGAAGATATTGGGAATCCCATCCGGTCCAGCTCCTTTCTTAGAGTTCAGGCTCAACAGTTGCTTGTATACGTTGTCGAAAGTGGCCTCAAAGTCATTCAGGTCGGCATTTTGCTCGTTGAGGTCGATTCCAGAATATTCATTATCACTTGTAGCAGGGATGTATACACTTTCGAAGTAGGATGCAAATAAGTTGGTTATATCTGCACCAGTGTCAGCTGATAGGTCAAAAATTAATTTATATAATTAAAAGATTAAGAAAAATTTTGTGACGGGTATATTTTTATTGTAAATTGGGTTTGATATTTTTTCAGCGATAATCATTCATGATTTAAATAATTGAGAGAGTAAAAAAAATTTTGTAACGAGCATATTGTTATTTTTAAAGGAATTTTTATAGTTAAATTTGGTATCATTAGAAAGGTCTGGATAAGAATTAGTGCCTTTTGGTTTTATATATTTTTTAGTTGTAAATTTTTTATGTCTAGTTTTTGGAGGAGTTTTAAATAGTTTGTTGGTTCTAAAATTTGTTCTGTCAAATTTGTCGATTAAATTATTTTTAATTGATTCTATGATAGCACTATTATTTTCTAAATTTATTTAAAAAAAATACCCAAACTATGTATAGATTATTAATATCAAAAAATCATTAAGCCAATGCTTTCTTATTAATAATCTGTAAATTGGCAGTCACATAGTGACTGCAGGTTACTAAATTGAATTATAGTTTTTTTTTTTTAATTAATTTAGTTTAAATAATTATTTTTTATTTTTACGGATATTTTATTGTTTTCTTAAAATTTTATGTTACATACAATAATTAATTAATTTTTTTTCTTAGAGAGCAGAAAAATTTTGTTGGCCTAAGTTTTCCAACAATTTCATCAGTTGGTGCTCACGGTGCTGTTATTCATTATTTGCCATCAGAAAAAACAGACATACCTATCACGGACCAAGAAATATATCTCTGTGATTCAGGTGCACAGTATTATGATGGTACTACTGATGTTACAAGAACTTTTCATTTTGGAACACCTACAAGCTTCCAACGAGAAGCGTTTACTCGAGTATTCAAAGGACAGACGGCTATCGCTACGGCAGTATTTCCTATGATGATTAAGGGAAACTATTTAGATATTTTAGCGCGTAAAAGTCTGTGGGATGTTGGGTAAATATTTATTACCGAATTTTTAATTCATAAAATGTGCATTAATTATTAATTAAAAAGTAATATATATCTTTCAGGCTTCACTACTTGCATGGCAGTGGTCATGGAGTAGGAGCTTATCTCAACGTTCATGAAGGTCCCACTGCTATTTCATGGCGTCCTTACCCAGATGATCCAGGATTACAACCAGGAATATTTTTATCTAATGGTGAATTTTTTTTTTTTTTTTTTATTAAAAATCTAGCTATCATAGCCAGTTATTACATCCACAGTTCTTAACCGATCTTTATGAAATTTTGTAGACTTATTTTAAGAATCAATACCAAGATTAAGTTCGAAGAACAAAGTCGGTTGCTTAGTTTACGAGTTGTGGGTGTATGAAAATTTTTTTTCATTTTTAAAAAATTTTTAATTTCGTCAATTTTATGGAAATAATTTTCCAGATGTAAAAAATTCATAAAATCAATTAAATTTATCTTGAAGTTCACGTAATTGTCTTCAGTTAATTTATTTTGGGTTTTTTTTTTTTTTTAATTTTTTCATCCGTATCGGTGTAAAAAAAAAATTGTTCAAAAAATGTTCACAGCTTGTAACATCAAAATGTGACACATTTTTTGAACAACTAATAAAAAATAGAGAATATTTTTAAATATCGATATTCCTATTGTAATACGTCATATCCCACAAAATTTGACATATTGACTTTTTTTGAAAAATAGAATCACAACAATATTATGCAAGTCATATTAAAAATTTAAAGGTCAAATAGTTTAATAACTATTTTTAAATAGATATTTTCATCCGTTGAATCCTATTTAATCAATTTTAAAAATGAACTATTTTAAACGTCTACTGTAAAATTTTCTAAATGTGGGATACGATGTATTAGAATATGAATATCGATATGTAGAGTCTGGATTGATTGATAAATTTTAAGAATTTTGTAGTTTTTTTTAGACATTTTTTAAAAAATATTTCAAAAGTGTTCAAAGAATGTTCAAAAATTGTCTCAAAAGTGTTCAAAAAAGGTTTAAAAAAGTATCTTCAAATTTTTCAATCAATCTAGACTCTGCATGTCTTAAAGCTTCTCGATTTTTTATTAGGTGTTCAAGAAATGTTCAAAAAATGTTTACAATTTTCTCATCTTTTTTAAACAATTTTGAGACATTTTTTAAAAAATGTCTAAAAAAAATTACAAAATTCTCAAAATTTATCAATCAATCCAGACTCTGCATATCTAAAAACATTCTCGATTTTTTATTAGGTGTTCAAAAAATGTTCACAATTGTGTGACATTTTGATGTTACAAGCTGTGAACATTTTTAGAACAATTTTTTTTTTACACGCTAAAAGATAGCTTAGATTTATTGAATTTATGTCAAAGTTTACCTAATTATCTTCAATTTAAACTATTATTCGTCGAGTTTTAATTTTTTTTTTTTTTTTAACATATTTCGTAGTTCGTAAAATTAATTTTTGGCTTTTTTTGTCAAATAAATTTCATACATTACAAATATTATTTTTTAGATAAATTTTTATTTTTAATATTCATCTTAGAAATTTACATATTTAGTTTATTTTTTTTTGTTTGTAAAGTTTTTAAAAATTAATATAATGAAATTTTTTTTTATTTTTTGTAATAATTTTTTTAATGAAAAAAATTCTAAAAATTTTTAGATGTGGGCTTAATAAATTTTCATTAAAAATGAAATATTATTTTTTTGAAAAAATTCAAAAAATTATGATAAAAAAAAAATCATTTAAAAAATATGACATTGAAATTATCAGAAACTTGACAATTTTTTGAATTTTTTTTTAAATGATAAACTAGATTTCGAAAATTAATTTAAAAAAATTACACTTAAAATTTTTTAAACAAATTTTTCTAGACATAATTTATTACTAAAAATTGCGAAATAAATTTCATACATTACAGTATTATTTTTTAGGTAGATTTTTATTTTTAATATTTATCGCAGAAATCTACCTATTTAGTTTCTTTTTAATGAATATTTATTTACAGAACCTGGATTTTATGAAGACGGAAGTTTTGGAATACGCCTTGAAAATGTTCAGTTTGTCATAAAAGCCAAAACTCCTTACAACCATAGAAATTTAGATTTCTTAACTTTTGAAACAGTAACATATGTTCCAATCCAAACTTCTCTTCTTGATGTTGACTTACTTACCGATCAAGAGGTAAAATATTATTTTTAATTTTATTGATTGTTTTAATTAATAAGTATTAAAAATAATTTTGACATTGTTATTGCAGATTGAATATTTAAATTCTTATCATGCCAAGTGTTTAGAAATACTTCGACCTTTCCTTCAAGGTGAAGATGACATTCAAGCACGTCAGTGGCTTGAAAAAGAAACACAACCAATATCTAGATAGTAATATTTAGAGTATCAATAATCAATTATTTGTTTGTTTAAAACAATCTAAAAGATTTAAATGTACTTTTTTGTTAAATTCTTTTTTTATAGTTCATATCTTTTTATACACATTAAATTTATAACTCAATTATTTTCATTCTTAAAAATCAAATTAAAATCACAGTTGAAAAATTAATCATTTGTAAGCGATAATAAAAATACTAACCAAATTTTTTTTTTTTTTTATAAAAAATATTCAATAGAAATTTTTTAGAAGTCTATACCAATGTGTTTATCTTAATCAAAGGGTGAATCAACGATTATTAAGACTTTAGGTGAGATCAGCAAAAAATGGAGTATCGAGAATAAGAGATAATTAGAAGTAATTTCTTTGTAATAGGTTTCATGGCCGCTTCTGACAGCAAAAAGTATGTATCTAAATTTCATCAAGCAAACTTGAATATAGAGGCTGGGATTCTGGACCTCACAATAGTTGAAAAAAATATCTTTTTTCCTGACAGTGAAAATCGATATTGTAGAAAAAAGTTACAAAATTAGAAAAGGCCATTCGGCAGCCGAAATGCAAGTGGATTTCATGATGAATAAAAAAAATACTACTAGGGTTGCATACGAAAAAAAAAAAAAAATTTCTGTTACATTAAACAACAATGACGTCAAAACGAATGCAAAAGTAAAATTTCATTAACTCTGTCTGAGAAAGTAGGTAATTTTTGGCCTAGACTAATAATGAGGTACACAAATTAAAGCTTATTTAATAAGCTTTCAGGTGCCATCTATAGAATTTTAATAAGATATCGCGTTCAATTGTAATTGCACGGAAATACGGTAAAAGTGAAAACTTTTGCTATTTTTGAAAATTTTTGAATTGTTAAGCTACTGGTAAAGCATCCTGACATGTAATCGGGGAGACCCAGGTTCGATTTCTGGCTTGGTTAATTTTTCATGGATTTTTCAATGTTGCCCTTCATTCTCAGTGGCTTTCCATCGTTAATACTTAAAATTTAGTCGAACAGATACTAGCATTCACCAGTTAACTAGTGTTTAAGTTCGATGGTTGCGCATCGACCTAACTATCCGAAGACGAATTGTCTCAAATTGTTAGTGAAGATGGAAATTTCCATCCACTTGAATTAGATTTATACTAGCATGAAAATGACCGAAAAGGTGATAACGGGTTGGAAGAATTATAATTATCACGGTTGAGAAAAATGAATAAAGATTATAAAAAATGTTTACCATTTACTCAAACCGTTTTTTAGGAATTCTTCTGCGCTACTTTAGCATATAACGGATGATGAAATATAGAAAACAGGGAACGTTGTGTCGGGACCTTACATATTAATAAAACCTTTTTCGGTAAATTTTGAGAGTTTTTGAATACCCAATCAAAAGAATTTTTTAAAAAATGATTCATAAAAAAATATTTCTCAAAATTTTTGAACGAAAAAATCATTCAATAAGTCTCAAATGCAATTTTTAAATTTTAGAATTAAATTTTTTTTTTCAACTGTATGTAGTCTTAGATTTTCTTGCAAATTTTTTTTCTTCTAATTTCAAACCGAAATTTATCGTAGAATTATGATTATTACTATTTTTTTTTGTTAAGTATTTATCAAACTAATTTTATTGTTGTAAGCATGCTTTGTTTTTTTTTTTATTATTTTGAACTAGTTCTTTACCACTATAATAGACGTTAAGAATTAATTATCAGCAGATTTAATTAAAAATTTTTCTAAATTTATATTTATCATTCAATGATAAAAAAGAATTTTTCCTTATTTGAAAAAAGCACACTTAGAAAATTATTATAGTAAAAATTAGTTTTAAAAATGGTTAATTAAATAACTTTTTATTAAATTTAAAAAATTTGAAAAAAAAAAAATAGTCACAATAATCTTGATCCCATTAAAATTTGTAAAATGTACTGAGGGAAAAAATTTCTTTTGGAAAAATGGGCATTATTGGAAAAAGAAATTAATTTATTGAAAATTCTCAAAAATTTTAATTAAATTATTTTCTCTAAAATTATTTAAAAAACCTTTCAAAATTATCCTAAAAATGTTCCAAATTTGTTCTCAAAAAATTCTGAAATCGTCCTAAAAATTTTCCAAAATTATCCACAATTTGTTTTTAAATTGTTCAAAAAATGGTTTAAGATTTTTTAAAAAATGTTCAACATAAGATTTTAAGGACAAAATTTTAACTGAATTTTTTGAAATAAAACGCATTGATTATAAAATTATCTTAGAAGTATTTTAAAAGTCTTAAACAAAATACTTAAAATGCACTATTTGGAAATTTCCAATTATTTATGTGGTCCCAAAATTGTCCAAAAAATGTCCCTCATTACGTCATGTTTGGATGTCTTGGGACATTTTTTGGACTTTTTTTTTACACAGGTAATAAGAAATTAATTAGTTTAAAATCTGAAAAATTTTATTTCTTAGCTTAAGAAATAAAATTTTTCTTACAGTTACTTTGTTGTTGAAAAAAAATTTTCTAGATTTAAAAAAAAATGATTTTGGATTAAACCCGTGTAAAAATGATATGATATCATTATGAGGCTCATAATGAATATCATAATGAATCTCATATTTTGGTACTAATATGAGATTCATATAAAAGCCATATCAATACATTTGAAATCTGTATTTAGTAAAATACTTATGGAAACGAATTTTTTTTTAACTAGATTATAAAATTTTTATTGTTCTCATTATTGGAGAAAGCAAATTTCTAGTAATTTAAAATTATTATTAAATGTTAAATATAAAACTTGATCCACACGGATCAGTCGCATGGAGATTCGTGACAAATCTATAGTGACAAACGCATAATTTCATACTGAAGTCATAATAGTAACTGCGTAAACTTATGATGGAATCAGTCTGATATTTTTTTAAATTCATCATGATATTGTAATGATATTGTGGCCTTCTATTCATAATTCAAGAAAAAAACTTTTTTGTAACTGTTGGAAATTCATTAAGACAGTATCTCCATGATGATATTAACATAATTTCATTATTTATTTATTTATTTCTTTAAAAAAGACCCAACAGCCAATGGCCATTAACAGGGTCACATAAGTATACAGTTGCAAATACCATATATAAAATTTCTACAAAATCATAATGCAAATACAATATATAAAATTTTTACAAAATCATAATACAATTTTAGGTACCAACTAATTTTTATAATTAGATACACTAATTTTTAACTAATCAATTAGTAAATTCAGAAGACAAAATTGACACTAAAAATTAAGACTTAAAGAGAAGACAGCGGCCAAAGGTATTCTGTTAATAATTGAGAATGGTTAATCTAAATTTATTATCATTCCAGTAAATTAAATTAATAACATTATGAAATAAATAATATTAATAGTAAGTAAGATTAGTAACATTAATTATATAGGAAATGCATAAGTCAAAACGTCAGGTGGTTATAAATTCGTAATTGGCTCTCTTAGATACTAAAATGGTTGCTAGCACGCTGACCGTCAAGGGCTGATTAAAGCACATTATGTCTAATTTCATTTGATCATTGTCGTATATGTAGTTACATAGAGACATCAGTTTGTAAAGTAGAGAATTTCTAGCCAGGTTTGAATGAACTGAATGAAGATAAAACGTAGGGTTTGACCTAGTGTTAGCTTGTGGGACTGCTATTGCAAACTGTTGCAAAAATCTAGGACATTCTATGCTACTATTGAATAGGCCTTTTACAAAAAGTATCGAAGCACAGATCCTCCTCTCCTCCAGGGTGAGTAACCCAGCATCCAAGCAGAGAGAATGATATTCTGTGCCTCTTTCAGGATATATCCCATACTTTTTGTAAGCAAGGTACTTTAAAAATCTACGTTGGACCTTTTCCAGTTCCAGCTTATGCTTAGCATATAAATAAGGAGACCAGACCACTGCAGCATATTCCAGCTTAGGACGTACCAGCGCAATATAAAGTGTTAAGATGGCTTTAATGTTCGTAAACTTTTTAGTTAATCTAATAACAAATAATTATGAAATCATAATGATATTAAAATGAATTAATAATTAAATGATGATCATATCTTTATAAAATTATAATGATATTGTTAGTCTTTTTAAATCGTGATATAAAATTATTGAGTCATGACTATATACAGGAAATATTGCAAAATAATTAAATTAAAGAAATTTTTAGGAGGATTTAAATTGTTTTCAAAATAAGAAAATAATTATCTTGAGACGAAAAAATCTTTTCAGTCAAAAATTTTTTTTAAACCAAGATAGTCAGTGTTTTTCTAAATATTTTTCTAAGTTAAGAAAGACGAGGAGAAAAGTTAAGTAGTTCAACAGTATAGTGCATGATAAAAATACTGTTTTTCTCAATTATTATACATTTCCTCTAATATAATTAGCAGAAAAAATGAAAATTTTACTGCTTAAAATCTACTTAAAAAAATTCGTTCCCACAGGTATTTTACTTATTACGGGTTTCTAAAGTATTGATATGACTCTTATATGAATCTCATATCAGTGCCAAAATATGAGATTCATTATGATATTCATTACGAGCCTCATAACGATATCATATCATTTTTACACGGGAAACTCGCAAGTTGATGTTTATCTAAAATTGTTTTTCCCCATATTTAGAAATCTTTAATGAAACTCGAAATTATATCTTTGATACTCAATCACTATATAATTTTTGATGTATTTAAATTAGGCATATAGTGAATGAACAAGCCAGTAGCAGTAAGAATATCAAATGACCTTGTGGGTTACGAAATTTAAGAATTAAGTCATCGATATACTGTGCATATGGACATATATCATGTTCCTTGGCATCAGGATAACGCCTACGAAGCTACCAATTTTGATAGTATAAATCTAGTATACATTCACTTATATTCTTTAATTCAATTCATTTTTATTAACTGTTAATTTAAGCCGATGGATTAGTTTAGAAAAGGTCACTTTTTCAAATTATTTAAAATTATATTGTTTT